ATAATAACAATAATAACAATAATAACAATAATAACAATAATAACAATAATAACAATAATAACAATAATAACAATAATAACAATAATAACAATAATAACAATAATAACAATAATAATAATAATAATAATAATAATAATAATAATAATAATAATAATAATAATAATAATAATAATAATAATAATAATAATAATAATAATAATAATAATAATAATAATAATAATAATAATAATAATAATAATAATAATAATAATAATAATAATAATAATAATAATAATAATAATAATAATAATAATAATAATAATAATAATAATAATAATAATAATAATAATAATAATAATAATAATAATAATAATAATAATAATAATAATAATAATAATAATAATAATAATAATAATAATAATAATAATAATAATAATAATAATAATAATAATAATAATAATAATAATAATAATAATAATAATAATAATAATAATAATAATAATAATAATAATAATAATAATAATAATAATAATAATAATAATAATAATAATAATAATAATAATAATAATAATAATAATAATAATAATAATAATAATAATAATAATAATAATAATAATAATAATAATAATAATAATAATAATAATAATAATAATAATAATAATAATAATAATAATAATAATAATAATAATAATAATAATAATAATAATAATAATAATAATAATAATAATAATAATAATAATAATAATAATAATAATAATAATAATAATAATAATAATAATAATAATAATAATAATAATAATAATAATAATAATAATAATAATAATAATAATAATAATAATAATAATAATAATAATAATAATAATAATAATAATAATAATAATAATAATAATAATAATAATAATAATAATAATAATAATAATAATAATAATAATAATAATAATAATAATAATAATAATAATAATAATAATAATAATAATAATAATAATAATAATAATAATAATAATAATAATAATAATAATAATAATAATAATAATAATAATAATAATAATAATAATAATAATAATAATAATAATAATAATAATAATAATAATAATAATAATAATAATAATAATAATAATAATAATAATAATAATAATAATAATAATAATAATAATAATAATAATAATAATAATAATAATAATAATAATAATAATAATAATAATAATAATAATAATAATAATAATAATAATAATAATAATAATAATAATAATAATAATAATAATAATAATAATAATAATAATAATAATAATAATAATAATAATAATAATAATAATAATAATAATAATAATAATAATAATAATAATAATAATAATAATAATAATAATAATAATAATAATAATAATAATAATAATAATAATAATAATAATAATAATAATAATAATAATAATAATAATAATAATAATAATAATAATAATAATAATAATAATAATAATAATAATAATAATAATAATAATAATAATAATAATAATAATAATAATAATAATAATAATAATAATAATAATAATAATAATAATAATAATAATAATAATAATAATAATAATAATAATAATAATAATAATAATAATAATAATAATAATAATAATTGTATTCGCTTAAACTTTATGTCACACACTTTTTGAACTCACTTTTTTAGAATAGTAGTTATTCTTAAAATTAATTTAATCAGTAGCTTATTGTACTCTTAATCATGAAAATTAATAAGTAGCAAATTATAATGAGTGGTGTCGATTAATTTTTCCTAATACACTCTTTTTTGAATATTTATTGTATGAGCTTATACTTTATGTTATTAGTTTATCATACTCTTATTTTTTCAAAATCTATAATCCCTACAAAGTGAATGTATAAAGGCAAGTCTTCCACTATCAAATTAGGTGTTTTATCATGGAAGCTCAGGTCGGCCCAGCCCGGGTACAACATGTCCCTGTCTAGGTCTAGTTTCCCGTCTGGTCCCGGGCTCGGTTCAGGACAGGTACCTGCCCATTTTTTTTGTTTAAGTTATTTCAAAGTATTATATTAACAAAATTATACACATTAAAAATAATATACAAATTTATTTGAAACATTAAATTGAGTTGTACAATTATTTAAAAAAAAACTACTCAATTAAAAGGGTTGCATAAATCTCAATTATAAAAGAGCTACTCGACGGAAGTGTACACACCACATTATATATGTGTAAATAAGTAATTGTTAACAAATATTTAAACAACCATAGATCAGAGGAAGGTTGCATAAATCTCCTAGTCTTCAATTTTGAATGCCCGCTTCTTTGGTCGGTTGTCGTTTCCTCCATGAAGTGACAGATCGGTGCTATGTTTAGTTCTTGAGTTCGCCAGTGAGTTTCAAACAATCATGGAAACACACAAGTGTCTGAAGAGATTTTGCACTCAACCTTATTGATAAAATCATAAACATTGCTTTGCCTTGTTGATAAAATCGGAAACACACGAGTATCTCAAGAGTTGCCGATAGGACTTGTTTAAATTTTGCCTTGTTGATAAAATCGGAAACATTGCTTCTTTGTCCTTCCACCACGTGAGAATGTCACTCTTCCCCGTTTTCTTACTTACATGCAAACGTTAATTAGTTAGTATGAAAGCTCCTAAAAACGTTATTTGGAGCATGTGATATCCTAAAAACGTGAGTCTACAACGTACCTATGGTCACCTATTACTATTATTATTAGTATTAATTTATCATTACTATTATTATTATTATTTTTTATTTTTCTTCGTATTACTATTATTATAATCACTTTCATCATCGTTATCGTTATCATTATTGTTATCACTATGATCATTTGCATTGTCTTTATAACTATCACTGTGGTTATCATTATCATCATTGTTGTTATTAGTATTATTATCATTATTATTCCTTCCAATTCTACTTTGTTTATTAATACATCTAATAATCTTTGTGATTTTTAGAACTATTGGAATCAATTTTTTTGCCGAAATTTCAAAAGATATGATTTTTTGTATGATATATATTGTGTAATATTATATTTACATTTTTTACTGCATAATTGAATATTTTTACTGCAGAATTCTTGTTAAATTGATACTACAACATCACAGTTTTTCTGCCGTTAATGCAGATAATGTTGCTTCATTACATTGTTGTGTTTGTTTTGAATTTACATTTACTTTAGGTTGAGATGGGGAACTATGAGACACAATATAAGGATGAAAATGGTGTTGTGATTAATGGACATTTACTTGTTATGTCAAAGGAGATTGATGGTTGTCCAATTATGCATGGCAGAGGTGTCACTAAGAATGATCTTGTTAAAGGGATGGATAACCGACAACAATTTGTTATGATTACTGACAATTATATGAACACAATTTTAAGTGATGTGAGGAAAGAATGCTGAAATAGAACAAATGTGCAAGGAGTGTGAAATTGAAAAGAAAAAGATCAATTTGGTTTTATCAAAACTTGTTACTCTGTATCTTGATCATGCCTTACTTGGGCTATAGGTCGAGCTGAAGTAGATATCAGGTATGTGTAGTTAATTAAACATTGCATTTTAGACTAATAGTTGTTTCATATATAAATTATATCATTCACTCGCTCTCATTTTTCTCTCTTTTGTAGAGACATGTTTGTGTTGATGAGGTCAAGTTTAATGGTTTGTTGAAGAAAGCTATTACAAGTGGATTTACTATTTTCTCGTTGATACTTTGGATGCTTGATGTTAAAGTTGTTCAAAAACTATTTTATTACAAAGAGTTGTTTGAATATATTAATGTCGATTGAATATTTTTTAAGGTTTTTATATATATGACGATAGTATTTGTATTGTACAAGCTAGCTTGGTTTATAATATCTTACAAGTCACATGCAACAATATGTTGCATACGTTTTACATAATATACGAAAGTGCAATGCAGTATCGGTAAAAACTTGATGCTATTGTTTGGATTTAGAAGTTACACATGTTAAAGGTGAATCACAATACATGTTACATAATTTTAAAAAAAAGTGTTACTTATAATTCTTTGGAGATGTTGCATCAAATTTCAAATGTTACATAAAATTTTGAAATAAATTTTAAAACTGTTATCACCATGTGTTTTTCATTAAAATCTTGAAAAGCGGCAACTCTTTTATGCATTTCTCAATCATCATCAATAAATAGTCACATCTAAACAATACAAGTGATGATATGTATAATGCAATATATCACTATACACAGTCACATGTCCACAAAAATTTGCAAAAAATAATAACTAAGTTTTGTTAGGTTTTTTCAAATTATATTGTGTAATAACTTTTTTTCAATTGGTTTTCGACTATAGTTTTGAAATTGTGGATTTAATGAATCTTGAGCAGAAGCATGTATCCCTGCCTTCTTGCTCGTCCTCCATCAAGAGCTCCTCCTCGCCGTCGGTGTCCTTCAATTCTTGTCAATCTCGAGAATGGTTTCTTGATTTAGAAACTACCATTGGTGTTGCAACAAGAGTTGTGTTATTTATTCGTAGAACATGACATCTCTCCAGTCAAATAGCATCCCTCGAGACCGAAATAAAGGACCTAAAAATCTCTTGGATGTTTAAGCTCCCACCCCCCCACCCCTGAAACTTATAAAAAATGATCGTTGGAATTGCCCAGGACCCAATAGCCTATTTGGGGGTCTCAACAAACTTAACCGGGGACCGGGTACTCCGTATACTTGGTCCCATATACCTGGTCGGATACCCAGGTTTAGACCGAGACTGAAATAACAAACTCAATACAACCTCAAACAATAGTGGACCTTGTTCCAGACCTGGCCAGACCGCTAGACGGGGTATCTAGGTCCATACCTAGTCCCACATCTTCAAACTAAGCTCATTATTACTGTTGTTTTCGTTGTTTTGATAGATTGGTTGGATTGGGTTGGATTAGAAATGGCTAAACAAGATTCCAAGGGTCCCGATAGCATAAAAAATAACAATAAACGCTCAAATTAGAAATCAAAACTCATATTCACTGAATTCCGAAGTGTATTGATTAATGTTAAAGTTCATCACGACATCTTATAGAACTGAAATCGAGAAACTCTTGGCTAACGGTACACTACTACAAGATAATAAGAATAAAGATAATGATAAGAGTAAAACATACAGACAGGCGCATCCAGCTTAACCACCTTTCAAGCTGCTGCAACCACAATAAGAAACCTAAAATTCCAAAGGCTGTTTTTCTAATAACCATCACCACAGCTTCTCTGTAAGCCTGATCATAAATGAATTCACTGCAATTGCATCCAACACTATCCACGACGACTCAAACAGTTCGTGGAAGAACTCGGCCCCTGTCTCCTCTGCCGCACCCCTAAAAGCAATCCCGAACCCATTTCCTTGAACTGCCCCAAGCCGTGGCTTACCACATACAGCTACAATCAAAACCTTCTCCCTTTCTTGATTGTAACAAACACATATCAATGGCTTCATCCTAGCTCCCTTCTCACGTAACGCGTCCATTAGGAAATACCCAAACTTGGTCAACGCCTGAGGGTGACATAAGAGTGATGTGTCTGCCGAATCCTCAAGTTTGACCCACCTGAACTTACTCCCACTCCGTATTGACCCTTTCTTGGTTATTGCTGCACTTCCTTGTCTAAGAATCGCCCTTTGAACCCTAATCGCTTTCCTCATCCCGTTTTCCAGCTTATCGATATTATTAAACGACAGCGCATCGTAAGCCTCCCCAAACTGTCTAGAAGCACTGGAACCTTCTAAAAGGGCAGTGACTCCGTAGACGACATCAGCAGCAGAGAGTTTTGAACTGTACCCATGCAGTAACAAAAACCCGCGGTAGTAGAAGTCAGTTAGTCCAAATTCAGGTAAATACTGGACAAACATGTCCTTCATCCTCCTCTTGATCTCCACACTCATATACTCAAACTTCTGTTTACATTCGTCACGGGCGAACCCCATCCGCCCCAAAAGGAGTTGCATCTTTTTAATACCATTGTCACTCCAAGTCTTCAGTTTGGTAGCAATGTAGGACGAACAGAGCATTGAGTCAAAAAGATTCCACTCCTGTAACAACATTAGCCTTGGCTCATCGTCATATGAGATTCTAGATGAATCTGGGGCCGAGACCTTAGTTCCGTCCTTTAAGGTGACAGAGGTAACAGATGAGTCTAAGTTGCCGGAGCTGTTGACATGTTGCTCAAGTTCCATAACGCCAGCTTGGTATCTCTCATCAGTAAGCCTCTCATGAACAAACTGATCAGTCAAAGCAACACATGCTAACCAAAGCAACTCATTTGTGTTTCTTCTTAAGAAATGAGAGAGTTCGTACATTAAGCATCCGGATGGTTTACCATGGAATGTGCCCATATAATAGTATTCCTTTTTCAGTTTCCTGAAAAGCTTGACAGGATCATCACCCCCTTCGTTTTCTCCAGAAACCCTCCTCTTCTTCTTCTGAGTTCCTTCGACATCATCATTATCATCTTCGTCATCATCATCTTCGTCACTCTCACTTTCAGAGTCATCTTCAAATTCATCATCACTGTTCAAATCACTTGCATTTGCCAAAGCTGAAACATCAAAATCGTACGATAAATCTGTCTGTTGTTCATCATCCTTGGTGTAGAGAATGATTACCCTGTCATTCTCATTGCATAAATTGTGCAAATGGATAGGCCTGTGACTATCAACAACAAAGACTCGAGTCAAAGGACCTATGTCCAAAATCTTCCGGAGATCCCTTTGGCATCCCCAGTTTATCAACAAAATAGTGATTGGTTCAGCTGAAGTTGAACCTCCCAGATCACTCCCAGTGTACTTATGGATCTCTTTAAAACTTGACACAGGATAACAAGCATATCTGACTGAATCTAATTCAAGCACATGGCCTATGATTTTTAGAGCACAAAGTGAATCAACATCCGAGGTGGAGGGGAACACTAATAGAGGGGTTGAAGAAGCAGAGGCCAAAGCAGAATTCCGCAACCTGGTGTAAAATGATTCAATGCTGTGCTCTCTCACCATAATTTGTTTGCTCTTCGTGCAGATCTTCTATCTATGTGTAATCGTCAGGCATCTCAGCATAAGATTTTCTTATGCCTGAAAACTAACAAAAATCTGCCAAAAAGATGCAGATTCATTGATGTAAGGATAACATTAAAAACTAAATCTGAGACATTTAATGTACGAGTAAAATATACTCCTAATATTTTAACAAACTGAAGGCATCTATTACTATATAAAATAGCAAAAGGATATTGCTACACTATCCCCGCCAACAGTTACATCTTACCGTAAAGATTAAATCCCACTAGAACACTTTTAATAATATTATAATTTAAAACTGGAAAAGCTCATTCAGCAGAATCTCGCGCAACCAACACCTCCCTTGAGACATGTGCTAGAGCCTAGAGACTAATGTTATATCATTATAAATAGAATTGTTCGAACACAGCATTGACTTCTCTATAAATAGTACATAGTAGTACGTTTTGCTAAATAAACACCACCAAAGAACCTTATCTCTTATCTATGCCATTATCAAACTTATAAGGTAGCACACCAAGCAAAATTACAAGAATATCCTAGGGATATATTGTACAGAGTTTTTGTGTGTGTTTATCCATATATATAAGGTTAAGATTGGATACAAATCATGCTTCCGGTAAAAATACAAATTCATCTCATCCGTCCAAAATTACAAAATCAATGGAAACAACTAATTGGGCCACTAACATTCAGCTGTTAGGATGGGGGGTACTCCCTATCCTCTATCAAGTGCATGCGGTTAGGCGGTTAGTGGAGAAGTTTTGGGATTTTACAAATTAATACATGGCAATCTCATTGAAATAGATGGCTAGGATTAATTTGCACTTTGTAAATTAAGATGAGTTTGTATGTGATCCTAAATCTCTCTCTCTCTCTCTCTCTCTCTCTCTCTATATATATATATATATATATACATATACACATATATACATATATATATATATATATATACATACATACATATACATACATCTACACACACACGCAGATTATATATACACATAGATGCTAAATAAAAATAGTCAAGCACAAGGTCTCTCAGAAGCAAGAATATGATTTTATGAACAACACCGAGGAACCCTCCTGTTCTATCTCTGCCCTTCTCCTTAAGCATCTATGTATCACTGCCTTTCTCCTTCGCCTTCACCTTACGTACAAGCAATAATGTCCTTGTTGCATTATATAAAATGTAAAAACATTCTTCTTTATATTAAAAAATGTATACATATACCCTTGCTGGTACACACAGTTATAAATTCAACGCACACATTTATATGAAACAAGAGCATATATATACAAACACACCATAGACAGATGGTGTTTTCTTAAACTAAAACGTTAGTCATAGAATGCTCATGTCAAACACATGGTGTTTTACAATAGGCATTTTGATGATTTTCCGTTCAACATCTGGATTTAGTTTGTGGAAAATTTACACATAGATTAATATGAATTAACAAAAACATTATCCACACAAAAGATCTGGCAAATTCTGTATCCTATCAAGTTGCATGCGATGAAATAACATCAGGCTAGAAATCCCACATATCTTTTTATACTTTTATAAATACAAATACAATAAAATGTGCAGACAACATAATCAAGGTTATGGTGAGAGAAAGTGAGGGGAGATTAAAGCTGAGCAGGACCTTCTGTGTACTGGAGAAAGGGAGGATGGAGGGCTAAGGGTTATAGACTTACAGTCATACAGGAGCCTTCGTTTTTTATCTGAAGAAGGTGTGCAGAAGTTTAAGATCGTTATTAAGTGATAAAAGTGGATGATAAGATTAATGTGGTGAAGGGATTTCAAGAATGTTCAGTAGAGTTAGATGGCGGACAATAAATTTATGGAAGGAATTAGAGTTGGGTAGAATTGAAGGATGAATTATTGAGGTTGTTGGGAATTTGATGGGTAAAGTAGAGAAATTTGGGGCAGGTTCTTGGAAATTACTTAGTACAAGACTACAATGTTGGAAAATATTCCATTTAAGTGTCCTTGGACCATTTATATAATTTAATATAAATTGGGGACATTTATGTCTTACCATTAAGTTTGCCATATGACAGATTTGGTCACTGTATTTATGTACAGTTAACATATGATGGATATGTTTTAACATTAAATAATACATAAGAGGCCAATGGGGTTTCTCTTTGATACAAGATATAAGGCTCGTTCGTTCCTCTTACGACTAAAACGAAAGAACGTGTTTCTTCCCAAAGGTCTCAATAACACCTATATTAAGAGACCCAAGGGAGATCGTTCAATCCATCGCAAATCCGCTTGTATCCTTAGAGAATCCAACGACATCATGGCTTCATCATCTTCGTCATCAAAGTTTGGTTTCTCCTCAACCGGTTAGTGTTCTTATTGTTTGATTATATGAATTTTATCATGTTTAGTGAGACTAGATCCTTAATTGGACTGAATTTCTCTTCATTTGGTATCAGAGCAAGTTAATTCTCGCTAACACGATAAAATTCGAAGTTTTCAATTGCTAAACGATACAATAGTTTTAGCCGTTAATAACTTTCTGCCTGTGAAAACTGGATTACGAATTCAACAAAGTTTCTGACTCAACTACTTAATTCTAATATAGATTCGAAACTAAGCATGTGATAACCATAGATTGAGAATCAACGGAAATCAATTTAGTTTCTTAATTTTGATGATGATTCGATGTTTTGTTAATTGAGCATGTTGTTTCCGTTATACTCTGAACTGTTTGTTTTCAATTTAATATTTTTTATAATCTGTCGCTGCCCTTAATAATGGTATGGAATTGTGGTGTTTTATACTCTACCGATAAAACTGCGATCATCAGTTTACAATTCCATTTATTTGCAATTGAAAGAAGAAAAAAAAAAAATTGTTTTAAATTGAAATTCAGTGTTGATTTGACTCCACTTGTCTGCTTAGCATTTGTTTAGTATAAAATTCAGTTTTGAATTCACAACACGTACGCATGATTGAACTTAGGTGCAGATTATTTATTTTGTATCAGTAGGATGATTCTTGTATCATTCGATCATCTTATGCTTTTTAATTGATTAAGATAAAACTGAGATATGAGTTAGTTTTGTTTTGTTTTTTCTTCTGGAATCTGGAATTTCAACTGGACTAAATTTTTCCAGAATGTGTAAAATCATGTTAAAGTGCAGTTAACATGTTTATGTATCAGTTTGTTGCTTTATTCTTAACAAGTACATCAAACATCAGTTTGCTTTTCAGATTCCGAAATTCTACTTAATATTTGTTTTGGACTTGCAAATCTTCCAGAATGAGTAGTTTCATTCCATTTGAAATATGTATATAATCTGAAACTTTATTACTGAAGATGCGCATGACAGAATCATCTGAGTTGCGCTTTTGTTCTCATAGTGCTTAATCAAATGATTGGCCCAACGGAAAGTCATTTGATGCAACACTAAAAACTAGTTAGAACAATCCTGAAATAATTATATGAGTTTTCTTTTAACAAACCCAAAGGTGTGTTATTTGATAACTTATATAATGAAATTTAAGCATAAATGAATGTGTTATATTTCTGCCCAAAGGTGATATATGACATATTTGCAGCCTAATTTTAATTTTAATATCATAATGTTTGATAGCTAGCATTAGCCAACGCAATGTTAGTTATTAAACACGATATAAATTTTCCTATTATTTGGTGTTGATAATAGGCTTATTTACTAATAATTGACATGCCTTATTGTATTCCCTTATTTATTATAAATAGCTTCTATTATTGCCTCTGTTAAACCTTTTATTTCAGCATCTACTGTTACCCCATACAATTATGGGATAGAACCTCTAAATGGTACAAACTTTTCAACATGGAGAGAATCTATAAAACTCTCACTTGGCATGATGGATCTCGACCAAGCACTGAGAATGGATCCACCAGGTGCTCCTAATGATGAAAGCACTGTGGAACAGAAGCGTTCTTATGAACAGTGGGAGAGGTCCAACCGAATGTGCCTCATGGTGATTAAGAATTCCATATCTGTAGCCATTCGCGGAGCCATTCCTGACTCTGAAAATGCGAAGACCTACCTAGAATATGTGGAAGAACAATTTAAGGGCACTTCTAAAGCACATGCCAGTACCCTAATTCTCAAAATGTTGACGAGTAAGTATGATGGAGTAAGTGGTATTCGTGAGCACATCATGAAAATGTCTGATATGTCTAACAAGCTCAAAAGTATGGACATGGAGATCAGTGAAGGTTTCCTCGTTCATTTCATAATGACTTCTCTACCTGCGTCTTATGGTCCATTCAAGATCAATTACAACACGCAGAAAGAGAAGTGGACAATGAGCGAGTTGATTGCTATGTGTGTTCAAGAAGAAGAGCGCCTTAAAGCTGAAAGACCAGATGTTTCTCATCTCACCACCACAAACTCAAAGAAAAGGAAAGGCAACCGTCAAGGAGGAGGAAAAGGTAACATTTCTAAGGTCCCAAAGATAGGTGCAAGCGTGAACTCTGATCCCTACTGTAAGTTTTGCCGTTTCAAAGGGCATTACCAGAGGGAGTGTCCTAAGTTTAAGGCATGGTTGACTAAGAAAGGTAACTTAACCACTTATGTTATTTATGAGTCATTGAACACATCAGTTCCCCTTAATACTTGGTGGATTGACTCTGGTTCAATGGTTCATGTTTCAAACACACTGCAGGGATTCCATTCAATCCGGACATTGGGAAGAAAGCAAAGAGTGATTAAGGTGGGCAACGGAGAAGAATTAGAAGTGGAGGCCATTGGAACTATCTCACTAATTTTAGAGAATGGCTTCATTCTTCGTCTTCATGATGCTCTTTATGTACCTAATATTACTCGTAATTTAGTGTCTGTATCGAAACTAAGTGCTGATGGTTTTACATTTAATTTCGTATACAATAAAGTGACAATAAGCTTGAACTCAAATGTAATAGGATTTGGTAGCATGGAGGGAAACCTCTATAAGTTATGCTTAGACACTAATTTTATGGAATCCCCATTGTCATTTAATATAACTGAAAATACTTGCAAGAGAAAGAGAGAATTGGAATCGTCATCCAATTTGTGGCATCAAAGGTTGGGCCACATATCACGAGATCGAATGATAAGACTCGTGAAAGACGGCATTCTTCCAAATCTTGACTTCTCAGATTATGACAAATGTGTGAAGTGTTTGAAAGGGAAATTATCTAAGAAAACTAAGAAAGGCGCCACGCGAAGCACTGGTTTGTTAGAATTAATACACACGGATATTTGTGGGCCTTTTCCCGATTCCATTAGTGGTCATAACTCCTTTATTACTTTCATAGATGATTACTCACGCTATATGTACCTATATTTGATTAAGGAAAAATCTGAATCACTAGATATGTTCAAGGCTTATAAAGCCGAAGTTGAAAATCAACTTGATCGAAAGATCAAAGTAGTGAGATCGGATAGGGGTGGTGAGTTCTATGGTCGACACACCGATATTGGTCAAGCTCCCGGTTCTTTCCATGAATTTTGTAAAGATCACGGGATCATCAACCAATATACCATGCCCGTCACCCCTCAACAAAATGGGGTTGCCGAAAGGCGAAATAGGACTCTTATGGATATGGTCCGAAGTATGTTGGCTAACTCAAATCTTCCCCAATTTTTATGGACCGAGGCCCTTAAAACAGCAACCCACATATTGAATAGAGTACCATCTAAATCTATTCCTAAAACTCCATATGAGTTATGGACGGGAAGGAAACCTAGTCTACGGTACCTAAAAGTGTGGGGTTGTCCGGCTGAAGCAAAAGTGTATAATCCTCAATTGAAGAAACTTGACATGAGAACCATTAGTTGTTCCTTCATTGGCTATCCCGAAAGATCTAAGGGATATAGGTTTTATTGCCCATCTCACACTACCCGAATTGTCGAGACTCGACATGCTGAATTCCTTGAGAATACTAACATTAGTGGGAGTAGTGATGGTTCAAACACTAATGATGAACTTCAAGAGGGTACTGGAATGAATCCACTTATTATACTGCCCATTCCACCTAACTCACCACTTGAAGATCATAGTGAGAGTCATACGCCTCATAATAATGATGCAACAAGTCAAGAGGCGAATGAAACTCCAATAAATGTTGAACCAACTCCACCTGTTTCTAATGAAATTCCAGAAAATCAGCAATCTCTAAGGAGATCTCAAAGGGTGAGACGCCCCACAAATTTTGACGAATATTTGATATATTTAAATGAAGAAGCCGACTTTGATTTAGGGAAAGTCGTTGACCCTATATCTTTCCTTGATGCCATTAATTGTGACCAATCGATTCATTGGAAAGAAGCTATGAATGAAGAACTTCTTTCCATGGAGAAGAACAATGTTTGGGAACTTGTTGAATTACCAAAGGGTCATAAGCCCGTTGGAAGCAAGTGGGTCTTTAAAACTAAATTAGATCCAAATGGAAACATTGAAAGATACAAAGCAAGATTGGTTGCTAAGGGCTACACTCAAAGGGAAGGTGTAGATTATCAAGAGACCTTTTCACCTGTCTCTCGAAAGGACTCCCTAAGGGTCGTTATGGCTGTAGTAGCTCACTTTGATCTTGAGCTGCATCAAATGGACGTCAAAACAGCCTTCTTAAATGGAGATTTACACGAAGATGTTTATATGATACAACCAGAAGGTTATGTTTCTAAGGGTCAAGAACATCTAGTGTGTAAACTCAAGAAGTCTATTTATGGGCTCAAGCAAGCGTCTCGACAATGGTACCTCAAATTTGATGAAGTCATGAAATCAAATGGCTTCATTAAAAACAAAGTAGATCAATGCACTTATCTCAAAATGAGTGGGAGCAAATTCATCATACTTGTGTTATATGTTGATGACATCTTATTAGCAAGTAGTGATCTGGATTTATTGCATGAAACAAAACGCTTATTATTTGGCCATTTTGACATGAAAGATTTAGGTGAAGCTTCTTATGTTATAGGCATTGAAATTCACCGAGATCGAGTCAAAGGGACGTTAGGTTTGTCTCAAAAGGCATACATTGAGCGTATTTTAGAACGTTTTAACATGCAACAATGCTCTCCATCAGTTGCTCCAGTAGTTAAGGGAGACGTTTTTGGGTCATTCCAATGCCCAAAAACCGAGGTTGAGAAAGAGCAAATGAAACTCATTCCTTATGCTTCTGTAGTTGGAAGCCTGATGTATGCTCAAGTTTGTACTCGTCCAGATATCGCGTATGTATCCGGCATGTTGGGTAGATATCAATCTAACCCAGGATTAGATCATTGGAAAGCCGCTAAGAAAGTTTTGCGGTATCTTCAAGGAACTAAAGAGTACAAACTTACTTACCAGAGGTCTAATAATTTAGAAGTGGTGGGATATTCCGATTCTGACTTTGCTAAGTGCAAAGATGATAGGAAGTCTACTTCGGGATACATTTTCTTGCTGTCAGGTGGGCCAATATCTTGGAAAAGCCACAAGCAAAGACTTACGACTACTTCAACAATGATGGCTGAATATGTTGCGGTGTACAACGCAACGTGTCATGGGATGTTGCTAAGGAATCTTATCAAAGGATTCAAAGTAGTAAATTCTGTCTCAAGACCGCTAAGGATTTATTGTGACAATTCCGCGGCCGTGAGCTTCTCAAACAATAACAGTTCGAGTGGAGCGGGATTGTTCCTCGATACAAAGTATTTGTTCGTTCGAGAAAGAGTGGAGGAAAACGAGATTTGTATCGAACACATCAGCACGAATAATATGCTAGCAGATCCTCTCACTAAAGGACTTTCGCCCAGTATTTTTCAAAGACATGTCACTAATATGGGCTTGATGAAAGATCTTGTTTAGGAAATTATAGCGCAGTGCCTGAATAACTATCTTATGTATTAATTTCAAGTACTTGATTTAAAATTCCTCCCTAAGTATGTTTTGTCTATTCTTCATTGTGCACACAAAGTTATTTTAATAGACAAACATAATACCCTAAGTTTAATGTCATTTGGCTTATATTAATCCTTATCCTCTTTAAGAAGTGTCAAAGTATGATTAATGGGAGTCCCGGGTTATATTGACCCGTTAGACTGTATTTGTTTGCTTTGATATTATTATGGAGTAAGATGAATTTTTTTTTTTGGCCAACTAATACTTTAACTTATGTATAATTGTATAAATGATCTCAAGGTCAAGTGGGAGAATGTTGGAAAATATTCCATTTAAGTGTCCTTGGACCATTTATATAATTTAATATAAATTGGGGACATTTATGTCTTACCATTAAGTTTGCCATATGACAGATTTGGTCCCTGTATTTATGTACAGTTAACATATGATGGATATGTTTTAACATTAAATAATACATAAGAGGCCAATGGGGTTTCTCTTTGATACAAGATATAAGGCTCGTTCGTTCCTCTTACGACTAAAACGAAAGAACGTGTTTCTTCCCAAAGGTCTCAATAACACCTATATTAAGAGACCCAAGGGAGATCGTTCAATCCATCGCAAATCCGCTTGTATCCTTAGAGAATCCAACGACATCATGGCTTCATCATCTTCGTCATCAAAGTTTGGTTTCTCCTCAACCGGTTAGTGTTCTTATTGTTTGATTATATGAATTTTATCATGTTTAGTGAGACTAGATCCTTAATTGGACTGAATTTCTCTTCATACAAGAGCTATGATATCTTATAATGAAGCCTAAATTTACAGCAAACCTTAAATCAGAACATTAAAGATAAAACACTTGGTGCTGAATCAAGAGCAAACGACCATTCCATATGACAGAAATTAGAAAACTATTAGTACTATTACTACACAAAATAAGGAAATAGAAGAAGCAGATGGGACTCTAACTTTACACTCCGCATCTACTAATCAATTTATCTTCAAAGACAAAATATGACTAATAGGGTTTCCTGACAGCATAGTTTATGTAGCCTCTACCCAAAATCAAGTCCACGTTGTCCTATAGTTTTCAACAATAACTAAAAGCCTCGACTGACCTAAGCTGCAAGACAATGACAGAAATAAAATAATATATATAACTGAAAATTATTCTTTTTGTTAAAATGTTATTCTTTTTGCTTGAGATTTTAAAAGTGTTACTGTTTTCAAAATTCAATGGAGTTTTTCTTTGGCAACTGTAAAGTAGTAGTAAATTAGTGACATCTTTAGAACTGAATCGAGAAGTTCATCACTGTATTGGACAAACTAGCATCAATTAAAAATCAAGTAAGCTCCCTTGAACAAAGGCATAAAAGGAACATCAAAATAATATAATGCATTTGATGTTACTAATGTATGTAATACTGTTGCAGAACTATACTCTATAGAAAAACAAGATTCAAAATAGAAATGAAGTTACCAAAAATTATCTAGGACAATTATGTCTAGCAGAATGACTTAATCTCCATCTCTAAGTCCTTGACCAATTTGCGAAAGCTCCATTGACCTGTAATATATTTTAACTATATTTTTACTGATTACCAACTGCTTGGCTTTTATGTATTATTTATGAGCTACAGAGTTAAGCAATAGATATGAAAATACAACTTTAGCTTGTTAAGGGAAACTACAAGTAAAATTGAATTTTAGTAGAAAAAGAAAGGGAGCTTTAAGCAACATAGGACCAAAAATCCTACTACCTATGTCCCAAATTGTTTTGAAAAGAACATTTTTTGGTCAACCAATGTTAAAGCTAAATCCTCCCTATTTATAACTAATTCAATTTAAATAATTAAAATTTACATATTCAGAAACAACATAAAATCTCTATAAATTTATAAAATCCATATTAAAATTTAATTAAGAATTTATTTATATCCTAATTAAGTGAGTAAAATGAACTTGTTTGACGCAAAAAAAAATCCTAATTTAACAATTTTGCAATTCAATCTGGGACGTAGGGAGTATGAGATAAATCTAGCTAGAACCGTCCTCACAGTGTAGGGAACAATCATCCATTGTGCCTTTAAGAGAGGAATCTTTGTTTAAATGGTATCATGCTCTCTAGATCAGTATTTAAATTCTCACTTTATAGTTTCATGTTCTTATTATCAGGAATAGCTGAAAACATGTGTCTTAGTAGCAGCAAAGTTTCTGAAAACTTACTTTTCCCAACTCCGAAGCAGGGAATACATGCGAACTGCTGGCTGGAGGCAATTGCCGACTGCTGGCTGGAACGATTGGAGCTCGCGAGACTAGAGCCTGGAGCGAGTCATGATAGGAACTCGCGAGGCTGGAGGCTAGATCGACTGCGGGGCGACGGCGAGGAGGAGGATGATGGTCGGACTGGAGAAGCGAGCTGCGACTATACGAGCAACTAATCGGCGGCTCAGGATGTAAGGAAGATTGTTAGGGTTAGACTGAATTGGGAGAAATCCTCAAGGATATGAGCAGCTTAAGGTTTTTTGTTCAGATCGGAAAAGAGGAAGCTTTAGCTTTTGGGGGGATGAGGTTAGTTTTGGGGGGAAACTGAAAATTGAGGGAGGGAATAATTTGTATTCGTATAAAGGTTTCTGCAAAAATTCAAAATCAAAATTTAATTTTTAATTTATAGCCATAGAGTTTAGTCCAAGGTTGCTCCACGTGGTGTTTTTACTTTCCATATTTGACTTCGTTATTATATAATTATAAATGAGTCATAGGGGTGTTTGGTTGTTTGCGCATTAAAAATTTATATGCAAACTTATTGCATGTAAAATGTAGGGATGTAATCATTTTACATATAAAATATAAATATATTGTTTGGTGAGATATGCGAACTATTTTTAAAATACATACAAAGTAAATACATTGTTTAGCTCAAAAAACAAGTTCAAACGTAAACCTCCAATTAAAAAATCAAAATTAGCCTTATAAGTTTTCATGCCATCGTTTTTTAAGCAAACAAATTGCAAATTTGTAAACTTGTTAGATAATAGGGAGTAGACCACAAAATAGCCAAAAAAAAAAAGAGCATCCACTATTGATTCAAGAAGAAGATCGAAAGGAACTTCCTAAAGAAGAAAAAGCTATATGAGTATTTTGCAAAATAATTAATGATAATTGATAGATACTAATTATAAGTCATAAGGCAAGGTCGGTCATCAGTGCTGCTGTTTGAGGAATTATTTTTGAAAGCAGAAGAATGGGTGCTGCTGTTGTTGAGATGAATTGGTGACGATGTCTGACGTGAAGAACGGGCCGGCTGCATTGAATTTTTTAATTCAATCAATTTTATATGGAGTATTAAGAATGTAAACTAGTTTACCACCCTGCCCCTACGTAAAGTGGTTTGCATGGTACAGTGTAAAATGATTTAAAATAGTACCCTACAGTTTACAATAAATTATCGTACCAAACGGTGTAAAATGTTTGCATCCCTACACTTTACATGTAAAATGATTACTTCACACCTTAACAAACGCCCCCTTAATCTTTATTTGCGAAAATCCTCTTTTTTTCGTCAGACCCTCAATATATTAATTCAAAAGATCATTAGCCAACCGGCTAGAAATACAATCGGGGATAGCCACGTACTCAACCCTCTGATCTGGTGAACTAACATGTGTCCTAGCTAACGTATGAGCTATATGGTTCGCAGACCTTTTACAAAAAGAGAACACAATTACTCTTTGACTCAAGAAGAACAGCAATATCATCAATAATTAATTGTAAATATGATCCTCCACTCCTTTGTTTCAGCCCTTGCACCACCGTTAGCGCATCACTCTCAACCACCACCCGGTTCCATCCTGCTGCAATGGCCTCCTAAATGGCATCCTGAATCCCCATAGCTTCTGTCTCTCCTGCTGACCACTCGGCCTGATGAGAGACTCCTTGTGCTCGAATGAATTCCCCTTGATCATTCCTTGCAATCCATCCCCACGCTCTTATGCCTCCGGCCTGGTTAGTAGCCTCGTCGACGTTTATTTTTATCGTCCCTCTCTCCGGTGCATGCCATTTATCTCCAGCTAAGGACCTTGCTTGGTCTCCTACTGTATCCCCAGCTCGATGCGTTTCTGCTGCCGCGACGGGAAGTCCCAGCTGGGGTTCCTTCCATTTAATTATCACACTGGCTGCCATATAAACAACTGTTGAGGCCACATGGCCTTTCTCCTCCCACGCCGCCATGTTTCGTCTTTTCCAAATACACCAAATGAGAGAAACAAAGCTGCCCCTCGCCCCCTTATTATGCTGCATGAACTGTTGTCGCAGCCATTAGTCTAGCGGCAATAACGGACTGTCCGTCCGAGTGTGTGATAATCGCCATACCTCCTCAACTTTCGAGCATGTTCTCAGTGCATGGTCAAGTGATTCCTCCGCCATACAACACACCTTACATCCTCCTTGGATATTAATGCCCTTTTTCTTCAAGTTGTCCACGCTGGGTAGAGTTCCATCCATAACTTGTCAAGCAAAATACTTAAATTTTGGTGGGATATGAAGTTCCCATATCCTGTTCCAACCATCCCAGGACCCCGAAGTTTGATCCCCCATCAACCTAGCTCCTATAACAACTTTTAACAGAGAAAAATCCATTCTTTTCACCCGTCCACCAGAAACCATCCGCACGATTTTGCACACTAATCGGCACACTCAGAATTAAATTTATGTCCACCTCATTAAATAAAGTATTAACCCTTTCCCGGTTCCAATTTCTTCCAGTGAAATCTCGTAAAGCAGCAACATTCATATCCCTAATCCCCTGGGATTTGGCCGAAGTCACCCTCCCGGTAGCCATGCATCTGCCCAGACCTGAACTTCAATTCCGTTTCCAACCCGGCGACGAATATTCTCTCTCAAAATATTATGTGTCTCAAAAATACTCCTCCAAATAAATGAAGTATTATTACCCACCTTAGCTTCCAAAAAAGATGAAGTAGGAAAATATTTAGCTTTTAACACACGAATCATCAAACTTTGTTGCTCAGTAATCAACCGCCATCCCTATTTTGCCAACATGGCTAGATTAAATTCTCTAATCCTCCTGAAGCCCAGTCCTCCTGCTTCCTTTGGTTTACACATAGCATCCCACTTCCTCCACTGTAGGCCTTTATGCTTAAATTTAGCTCCCCTCCATCAAAACTCATTCATGAGTTTCTCGATGTCATCACAAATATCATTTGGAAGTAGGCATAGCTTGAATAACATTCTTCAATAAAACAACCCGTCCAGATCTAGAATGGAATCTGTTATTCCAACTTTTAATTCTGCTGCAAACCTGATCCCTCAGATAACCCAAAATAATGGTTTTATTTTTACCCACAAACGCCGGAAGTCCAAGGTAGAGGTGTTGACCTCCATCCCTCGGAATCTTGAAGAGTTGGCAGCAATGTTCACGAAATGGTTCCCCCACATTCGGGCTGAAAGTGAGAGAAGACTTGCTAAAATTTACCATCTGACCCGAGCACTTCTCATAAACCTACAAAATACTTTTCACTTCCAAACAGTTTCTAATATCTACCTTAAAAAATATAAAAGAGTCATCCACAAACAACAAATGGGTCACTCTAGGTGCACCCCTACACACCGAGATGCCCTGGATCTCCCCTTTCTGTTTGGCCCTCCGCATCATCGCACTGAATCCTTACGCCACAAGGATAAATAAACAAGGTGAGAGTGGGTCCCCCTGACGCAATCCCCTCCCCGGTTGGATAGGCCCCAAATATTCCTTATCAAATTGAATATAATAGCTAACCGTGGAAACACACACCATGATTATGTTCACCCATCTGGCATGAAAACTCATTCAGAGCATTAATTCTTTTAAAAACCGCCAACTGACTCTATCGTAAGCCTTGCTCATATCCGGTTTAAGTGCAACAAAACCCTCTTTCCTAGTGCTCTTTCTGTCACGCCCCGGACCTACTCGGATATGTCAACAACCCGTCGTACAATACGAATAGTCAACCAAAGTCAAACACATCCATATTATACAAAGCGTCTCGAATATCATTCACACATAAGTCATTCATAAACATACATAATAAGCAATTCAATACGCAGCGAAAATATAGTTTGAAATCAAATGCCACGCAGGGCAAACATGAGCACGCAGGCTCTAAAAAAAATGTCCATGAGAAAATTTATTAATGTTTCAAATCAGAATGGAGGGAGCACGAACCAAGTCTTCTCTCCGGGAAATCACTCGATCAACGAGCATAGGAAGAAGTGGTTCCTCCGCCATTTTTACCCCGTTGAAAAATATACTTACTTTATATAAAAGTCAAGTAGTCGGCCCGTGGGCCCATGTTCATTTTGAAAATCACCATTCACATTCCCCGTGACTATAAGCCACGACAACTCATAGACTCCAACCCTAATACATTACATTGTATCCTAGAGCTCGGCTCTATCACATCACCATACAATTCATGTCATTTGGGTCAATTACTTTACCTTGCATTCTAGAGCTCGGCTCTATTACATCATCGTGCAAGCCCTCGAGCTCGGCTCTAGTTATACAATACATAGACTACAAGTCTACCACCTTACTATGCATCCTAGAGCTCGGCTCTATTGCATCACCATACACTAAAGTCCAATTCCTAAGCAAACCTATGCCTAGAATTGACATATCAATAAATTACCTTGGGTCATTCCTAAGGACTGCCCATAATTTAACCTTAGCTTCATACTAAGACATTTTATACACTTGATGTATATTCAAGTGCATTTCACACAATCCAATCCTTACATCAATCCTATCAACAATTTCCAATAATCACTAACTACTATTTCAATACTATTAAGATTATTGTTATCATACAAATAACCTCATTTTGTAATTCTATACATATTTATAAATATGTAGCATCAACTTAAGCATTCAATTTCAATACATTAATATTCATTTATGTATCCACATAATTCATACATGAGTAAAATGTATATTTCACAAAATAGTTCATTAATAACTCATTTAATCTCATATTATCCACACAAACTCAAATCATTTCCAATTTAATGCATTGTCAAATATATCAATATTTAAGAATCATAATACATGAAAAATTATGATTTAGGCATTTTGGTAATCTCATGCTTAACCTACAAGTTGTAAGCAATTAGATGTCGATCCTCACCTCAAATGAGCTTTAAACCTTTCCTTCTCGATCCAATGACCAAAGCTTCGGCCAAGATGGATTAAGAACTGATTAATTGATTTAAAATGAGTGTTAAACAGCCTCCTCAAAGTGCTAGATCATCCCTAACCGTTGATACGAAAACAGCCCCTAGAATGGTGTTTTCCGGCGAACTGGTTTCCTAGTTTTTCCAAGGTTTGCTCTAGGTTAGTATCTAACCTTTACATCAATAAAATAAACTTATAAGGACATATTATACACTTGGAGTAGTGCATAATAGTTCCACCAATCGTTCATATCATTTGGAAAATGAAAAGAAAGGTTTTGGGATTAAAACTCACTTTAGAGAAGCAAATCCGTTTCTGCGAGTTTATGTTTTCTTTTGATGATTTGAAAGCCTTCCACTACTCCGTTTGATGCAAAACAGACCTTGACGGATTCCTCGTCTTGATAGCTTTCTCTGGGAACCTCACACGCCTTATTTGGATTTATATAGCTCGAGATATGATCCAAACGACACCAACACTCTCACTGCTCGAGTTTGTACGCAAAAGACTCTCTCTTCTCGCTCAGAAACCACTCAATAATGAAACTAAACTACAAAGGCTATCCAGGGAAACCTTAATCAACTCATTTGGATGAGTACAACTCCCATTATGGAGGGAGACAACCAGCACACTTATTT